CCACAGAATTTTTTTTTTTGGGGTTTTTTTTTGGGGGGGGGGGGGAGGTCGGGGTGTTTGGTATTTTTGTCTCAACCATCTGGCAACCCTAAGAGTGAGGAGGTTCAAGAAGTATTTTTAGGCCTCAGACTTGCTATATAGGCCAGATCCTTCAAGCCTCTCTTACAAGCAGCTGCAGTGAAACCAGTGAGGCATGAAATGTTGAAGCCTCTCGCTAAATCCAGAGCCCATTAAACTAGCTTGTATACCATCCACTCGAAAGATGAGACTATGGGTGTGAGAAGAATCATAGAAAAGATAGGACTGGAAGGGACAGGCAAGGAACTTAAGTTACGTGAGATTAAATGACTTGCGCAAGGGCACAGAAGACTGGCTCATCTAGGAAAAGAAGCCAGCACCTCAACTGCAAGAGCAGTGCTACTCTTGCAGGAAGAAGAGCCAGCAAGATTTGGCCCAGGATGTTTTTAAACATAAATACCTGATGGAAAACGATAGGTCCTCAGTGGAACGGTCCCGTGTGCTGTGTTCACCTTTCGAATTGCTTGAGTGTGATACGTGGTAGTCTGTCTTGCAAGCAGAAAACAAAGAGCACAGATAGTAAAAAGGGCATTGGCCACCTTTAAATCTTTTGCGATTCCAAGCTGGAACAGATTCTTCGGAATAAATGCAGGCAAAGTTAAGCCCACACTTTTACAGAATGCCCTCTGAGGGTGCCCAAAATGGGATGCTTTGGGGAACTTTTTTTTTAAAATTTTCTCCAGAGGTGTTGAGCTTATGCTGATGTAAGCAGGAATTGTGCTCGTTTTGTTTTTAACTTGGTCACAAAACCCAACACAATCACAGGCTATTTTTTTTTAAATGTTGATGGCCACATCCTTCTACCTACCGTTTTCCTTTGTATCATTTAACATAATCTGTGCTACTTGTAGATTGTTTTGCCTGCTGAGACCAGCCAGTTTTATGCAAGATGTATTAATATCTGATTAATTAATGTATTAATATCTGATAGACGGTTTGGTAAAGGATGATTAAGGATCTGGCTACTTTTTTCTGCCTGTCAAGAAAGTAACTGTAATGCATGAGGTTGTTACCATGGAAATGCCACAGCTGGATTAAGATCACCAGCTGAACAGCAAGTTATTAAGCACCCTGGTCAGCTGCTTTAAACTAGTGTTTTGCTGAGAGGTGGCTGCAATTTACATAAGGTATAAAAATAGTGGAATATTATTGAGTCTCTAACCACCCCAATCTAGGTTATGAAGCAACATCACAGCCTCTATAATCCAGTTGCATTTCAGAGAGGAATTAGCCTAGGAGCTGGGCTTCATTGACATGGTGGCTTTAAAAAGAAAACCTCACTTCCAATGTCTGTCAACTTGACTGGTGACTTTACCAGCAGGGAAACTTCTTTTCTTCCATTGATTGTTCCATTTGAGTCTAAAAGTCAACACACATTGTAGGAATTGCTCCTAATTTAGCAATGTATTTTCAGTGTCCTTTGAAATTCAGGATTCTGTTGATTGCCTTTTGGGGGGAGAAGGGGGCGCTCTTCTGATAAGATGTTAGAAGCAGAGGTGATCTGTGTCTTGAAAAATGAGGCCTGTGTGGGCCCATAATCAGTCATTGCCTCGGCAAGATTCTCCAGATTGTTTTGTCTGCAGGCAGCAGAACTCCCTCCTCCTCTTGCTACCTTCTCCCCATATCCTGACCCTGACTTGGTGGGAGGGAACACTGCTTGACTGGTGTCAGCTGGAGATTGTGTGGCAAATAGATTGCAAGATCCAGATGGAGAAGTCTGTGGAAAGGTCTCATGCGGAGGATAGGAAAATGCAGAATCGCCACAATCTAATCTCCTGTTTTGAATAACTGTCCAGTAATCTGGGTGAGAGTTAAATCTGTACCCTCGAGACTGAAGATGTTGTGTGAGCCATGCAGTCAGCCCTCGCCCTTTCTCCTAACCCATGCCCAGAAAATAAAGCATAAAAGTGTTACTTTGTGCTTCTGTGGTGCATGTTCTCTGAACCTCAGAGCCCTCTGCAAACATTAAACCTCCCCTCCCCCGCTGGGGAGTTTGCATTTTGGAAAACTGAAGCTCATCAGGGCTAAGTGGCAGAGTTTGGGAATAGTATGCAGACAGAGCCTTGAATCCCAGACTCCTGCGTTAACCACGAAACGTTCAGTCCTACAGAGCACAGCCTGCAGCACAGGCTCTGAGATGGAGCTGGCCGTGTGGAATGCACAATAAATAAGACCATATGGTTAAGGTTTCTGCACGCTAACAGGTTTGTCCTCTGTAGCTTGGTGGTGTTCATGTCAACCTGCTGTGCTTCAGTAGAGCAGATCAGAGTGTCTGGAGTGAAGTAGTAGATTCAAGACTCATGAGTATTGATGTGGAAAGGCCATTTTTCTGGGTTAGTGCATCTGTACTTCCATCACTGGCACAAGAACAAAGTTGCCTATTGCTGTAAGGGGCATAAAGTTTAGTTACCTTGTGAGTCCCCAGATATGACCAGACAGTCGGAAACCAGCACTTTTCCAGAGAATACAGAGTTCTATACTTGAGCTACAGTGAAACTTTTTTTAAAATCTTGTTTGTGCAGCAAAGCTGATTTCTGTCCAGAGACATCTCTCAAATAAAGATAACTTTGATTAGTGGTGGAAGGATTCAATTCAAGTCTAGATTTGGCACCATTTCTCTGTGTGTCCACTCTCCACTTGCACTTTGGCTATTGACATTGTGGTTCTAGAATGATTTGGGATCAATTTTAATGCAGGTGAGTTCAGCCATTGCATAGAAACATACAAAGAACAATCTCCAAAAAGTACAAGTCTTTCCCATTTGTCTGGAGACCTTTCACTTGAATTCTGTGCATTATTGTGTACTCTCGGGATTCCTCAACACCTTAGGGACAGCCCTATGTCTTGACAACCCTGTGTTCCCATGACCTTTGGTGCACCTTACAGGCCTTTAACAACTTCAGAGCACCTCTGGTGAGTCTGTAGTAAAACCTCCATTGGTGTTAGTGGCAGGAGAGTCTGCCCGCCCCAGAGGTCGTATCACTTAAATGTTTGGCTCTCAAACTAGAACTGGGTCACTGAAGGAATCCAGTCAGTGCCCAGAATATCGGGCCCTCTTTTCTTTATTGCTACCAGCTGTGTTGGGAGGGGGTAAGAGTCGATTGACTTGATCTAGTGAATTTTTAAATTCAGCTCAAAAGAGCCATCACTGGTATCTAATACACCTGCTTATCTGTGTTTGTCATGCAGGAGTCCGAGTCAGAAAACAAGCTGGACGGAGAGACAGCGTCAGACAGTGAAAGCAAGTCAGAGTTTGGAGGGGCCCCTCCTGCACCCACCTCAGATGACACCCCCGAGGTCCTAAACAGGGCCCTCTCCAACTTGTCTTCAAGGTAGCATTGAATAAAACTCCGCTGCTTCCGGGGCTCCCAGCAAATTGGTAGCACTTCCCCCTCTTTACTGACCCAACCAAGGCTGGGTGGGTGTTCTGTCCTGTCAGTAGATGGTGAGAGCAGCAACAGATTCATGGGTAACTGGTCGGGCTGCTGTTGGTGTGTCCTTCTCTCTGCCTCTGGAGAGAGGTTTGGGCAGCAGGCTGAGGTAGTGTGCTGTTGAGCTTGCTTTCTTTTGGCAGGATTTTCATGTGGTCCTGTTTCAGCAGTTTGGGGGATTGAACCCCAGCTTTGCCATTCCTGTGAGATCTGGGGCTACCTACATTTGTGTCTATAAAATGGGCATCGTACTCATACATGGGCTTGCCTGGTCTGAGCTCGTTTTATAGCACTGTGTATTCCTGCTTGCTATCTGCCACCTTCATCTAGCGCTTCCTCGCGCAAACAAATCTTCAGCGCTTTCCGATTTGTCCCCCGGCATGGAACTCCCTTCCTGAGCTTACCCACGTGGCCCTAGCTAACCCTGTCTGCATTCGAGTCTGCATTCTTCTCCGCACCAGATCGGGGTTAATGGAAGGGCATGAAATTCTCCCCCAGCCCTTCCCCCCCAGGATAAACTGCAGTTTCCTGCCTCCGCCTCTCACCAGCAGGCTGTGCAGAAGAGATAAGTGCATCTCTCGTGGCTTTCCTGATAGCCCCCTTGTTTTCATTGCCTTGTCTGACACTGCCTTTTTTTCCCTCCCCCTGTGATCTAGATGGAAGAACTGGTGGGTGAGAGGCATCCTCACACTGGCCATGATTGCATTCTTCTTCATCATCATCTACTTGGGACCCATGGTTTTAATGATGATTGTAAGTGCTGTTTTAAACCACTTCATTCAAGGGCCGTTATGGGTGAATGGTCGTCAGAAACCTAGACAGCTGAGAGAGTTAATGGGCAGAGTTCCCTCTAAGATTTTCCATCCATGAGCAAAGTGACTTTTGTCTTGTGCACCAGTATAGAGGTCATGTGCGCTTGTTTGGACGTGCCACCAGGCACTCTAGTTATTAACAAATATCTTATAAACCTCTCTTTTCCCTTTGCTGCCATGTCTCCCACCCTCCCCTCGCCCAACCTGCTCCTCTGGTGCCTGCTGCCCCCCACCCTTCCCCCTCCTCTGCTGTCCTGGCTCCTGCCCTTCTCACTCCCCTCAGCCCTTTGGGACCTGCCCCTCCCTGTCCTCTCTGACCCCTGCACCCACCCTTCTCTTCCCCTGTGCCTACCCCTTCTCTAGCCCCTTCCCCATCTCCTCTCCTATTGTCTGCCTCTACTCACCTGCCCTGCCGCTCTCCTCTGCCCTCTGGTGCCCGTCCCTCCCTCCAGTCCCTTCCCCGTGTCTGCCCGTCTGCTTCGCCCCCACAATCCCGCCTTCCTGGTGCCCACC